GGCAAGGGATGAATGAGCCAACCCCCCCCCCTTCCTGACCCCCCAGCGCCTGCCAAGTCCTCAGCTCCGCCAGGAGTGGACTGGAAATTTCCTCCGTCCCCTTCCACTGACCTTGAGCCGGATCCCACTTCTGCCACCAGGTGGCGTGGAGACAAGATGGGGGGAGGGCTCAGAGCTATGCCCCTCCCTCAGCTGCTGTCTCAGCCTCCCATGGAGATAGAACCCAGGAGTCCCGGCTCCCAGCTCCCCCTACTCTAACCACCAGCCCCCACTGCCCTCCCAGAGCCAGGGAGAGAACCCAGGAGTCCTGGCTCCAAAGCTGGGACTCCATGGGTCTCGCTGCAATTTTGCCCTCCACAAGACACTGTTGCAAGTAATGATCTATGAGGCAGCCGCGCTTGTGCTGCGGGGGGGAGTAACTGTGTGGGGTCAGCTCAGGGAGATTATGGGGGGGGGTCTCACCATAGGGATGCTGGCCCAAAAGCAATGGGGAGGTGCTGCTGGCCCCAGGGGGCTAAGGCCCCCCCCAGCTCTGTGATCTATGGGGCAGGCCCCTTCTCCCCTGCCCCGAGCTCAGGCCTTAGGCCGAGGGGGGGTTGAGGCCCCTGAGCACCCGCTGCTGGAAGGGGGGGTCACCTCCCGCTCGGGATTGGCCCACACACACTGTTGCAATGGAGGTTGTATCTGGCACCCGCAGGCCTGGGGGGGGGGGCTGGGACTTAATCAGCAAATGACCCCCAGCCCCCACCCAAGAGGGTTGGGGTGGGGCTCTTCCATTGCCAGCAGAGATGGTGGGGGGGTCTGGGATTGGCTGGATGTCGGGAGCATTGGGCCAGCCCTACACCCCTGCATCCATTTAGCCCCACCCACCCTCCCTCCAGCAATCTGCCCCCCCAGTCCCCCTCCCATCAAGCCAGCTCTGCCCGCCCTCCCCTGCCCCTTCCCCACCTCCACCTTGTTGCAACCCCTGTTCTACTCCGCACCTGCCCTGGGGCTGAGACCTTGGGGATCCTGCCCCCCCAAATCGCCACCCACCTGCACTGTGTGAGGGGGGAGCAGCAGCTGCACAGGGTGTGGGGGAGACCAAACCCCCCCCCCCAAGCTTGACTTTCCCCCCCCCCCCACACTAAATCCCATAAGCTTCTGCCTTGTGCTCTTCCCCTGTCCTTCCAGGGGCTTAGCCCCGGTTAACCCTTGAGGCACTGGAGGGGGGGAGGGGGAGGACAGAGCTGGGGGGAGGGGCTACTCC